CTTGTGTCTTCATGGATCTATTGCCTTACTTGGAGTGAAATGATTAAAAAAAAAAAAAAAAACAAATTAAAAAAAAAAACTGAATCTCATATGATTTTCAAAAGTTTTCTCATTCAACTGACACGTTTGACTCCATAAAGAGCAATTGAAAGGATTTTAGTATGCAAAAATCTTTTAAAATGCTAAACCTAACAATACCCGACAATCATACTCTTCTCTGTCAAAACAAATATTTGCAGTATAAGAGCAACAAATTTTACTTTTGTTGTTGCCATGTCTGGCAATCAGACAGATTGCAAGAACACACTATGCAATGCTTTATATACTTACTTTCTCAACCACAATTCCTTGACGAATTGATCCTAATTCAAAATTGCTAATTGAAGACATGTCTCCACCACACTGAAGCTGCAAAGAAAAAAAAAAAAAAACATATTTAAAGAAATAGTTTAACAAGATGGAAACAATTGGGACAAATAAAGAATACATTTTGTTTGGGACAGGTAAAGAAAGCAAAAGACACATTTATAAAAGGTGGGGGACATGCAAATAAAAACAACTGTATGGCAAGCTTGGTATGGAGAGTAGAAATGACAAACTTAGTTCAAATTCCAGCTTCATCTGCTGCCTTCACTCACTCATGGCCAGAGACATCGGGGGGGGGGGATCTACTATGAATATTAAGCTTCAGGAACCCTAATCGAAGAGAGGACCCTGAAGCAACTTTTTTTAACAAGTGAATTTTTCATCAAAATCAATGTTTTTTTTTTATTATTAAAATAAGCCTATTATAAACCAACGGGTTAAAGTAGCTAATATTGACCTAAGAACATGCTCTCATACCCATTTCATATGGCCTCAAAATTCCCCTGTAATTAGTCAAATTTCAAAATTTTCTTGGAGGCTTGCAGCACCCAAAACACTAGCTGTATGGGCTCATTGAGCTCACCAGAACCTATTCATTGCCAGTTGGATCCTCAAATCTATTGTTGCTGGTTTCAAAAGGGGCCCCCATATCTCTTCAAGCTCCGCCACTGACATGTATCCATTACTACACAGACAAGTGATATGGGTTCATATCCCATCCACATTCAATGCAGGCAGTACCAGACACATATTACTAGGTTACTAAAGCATTTTTTAACTTCCATGAAAGATGCAAACAGAAGATCTACCAGAGTAGGAAAGGCATAAATCTATCTCTTCTTGCCCCCAATACAGGTTAAACAGCTGGGCAGACCAAGCTCCCTCAGCTTGGGTGGCAGATAGCATGAGAGAGAGAAGACAATAGGAAAAGATTTCAAATTCACACAAAGAAAAGGAATCTGAAGAGAAACATGATTGCCTACATCCTGAAATGACAGAGTAAATTTTAAAAATGTCTACAACACATTTTAAAGTGACAAAGGATGCATTTAGAATTGTAACAATACAATTTCTCACACATCTTAACTAGATAAATTTCTTTTATCTTCTAAAATCCATTTAGTTATCTCAGTTTCATAGGAATTTTGTCTCCAGTCCATCTTTGACTAAACTTAAATGTCAGTGTTTTGGGGATTTATGTCTAAAGCTGCCTTTGAGTTGGCAAACATAAAATGTTGTTAATGATTTATGTTAATCATAAAAGTAGAATCTTTTGAAGAAGTTGCCCACCCAAAAAGCCAAATGGGTAGTCTCAAACCTTCCAGAACACAGGTGGATGGATAAGGGGTGGGACTCCAGCCATTATCCATATAAGCAGAGAGACGCAAGAAGTCAAGGAGAAAGGGGTCCAGCAGTCAGAGAAGTAGGGAGTGAGTAGCTCCCCAGTAGCCTGGTAGGAAGTGACTGGTCACAGTTAAGATAGCCAGTTATCTTTCCTTTGGCTGAACTGCTAAATGAGAATTCATATTGTTGCTATTTCCCAACCAGTCTTGAAAATCAAGTGTCATTATTCTCTGTTGAATTCAATCACGGCCAAGTAGACAAATCTGTGAACAGAGAATTCAGGTGTATATGCAGATACAGCCAATCTCAGAGGTCACCACAAGTACAGTGAATGACAAATGAGAGGAGAACATTATCACAAAAGTCATCACAGAATGACAAATTGAATTTGTGAGAAATAATGTATCTTTGGACACTTTTTGTATTTGTAAGAGATAAGTAAAGAAATTAATGTATTTCAGGGCAGTGATAAAGAAGGCTGACTAAAAACTAAAGCAAACTAAAGAATTTATTTGAAGGTGACAGAGGATGGATATATTTTGGGATGAGAACAGGTCAAATGCATTTTGTTTTGAAGCAACAAGTTAAGAAACCATTTTGTAAGGACAAATGAAATGGAAACATGGTGAGTACAAATAAAATGGTGATGAATGCATTCGAGGAAATTTTATGAAAACATGAAGACATACATATTCAGTGCCAGGGACAAGAAAAGACACACTTAAAAGCTGACAAGATGTTCACATGGAGAAAAGATTTGTCACTTTCATAATGCTCATTGTAGTAGAGACTTTGCAATTTCAGATAAAACTATAATAATGCTGTTGAGAAATACTGGTGTCAGACACCTTCAAATAACACATACATTAAAATACTTCCTTGATAATACTATCTCAAGAAGTAACCACTGAATAGTTATCCATATAGTGATCACTTAGATGACATGCTAATTCCCATATATATATATTTTCTTTACCATTACATCAGTCAGATATGTGCCATGTGTCATACACGCTTAGGCAACTATGTATCTTTCAATACATGACTGACGAGCCCCCCCCCCCGCCGCAGTAGGTTTCCATTTCTTTCTGCAGTAGACCAGTTGACATCCAAGGCTATAGAACTCAGCCTGTACTTCTATTTACCCATAGCTGGTGGGGAGAAGAAGAGGATTTATACCTTTCCCAAGGGGTATTAGCATGTAAGTGAACGTAATGGATTCAACTGGAATTCAGACTTGGCTCCCCGATCCCTCAATCCAAGCCACTATACATTATTCCACTGTGCCTTTACATGATCTACTTATCTGAAATGGGATCACCTGAGTTTGCTCACTGGTGATCTGTGTTCAAACTCCAGTGTCAGCACCGACACCTATTCCTATATAACACTCCCATTAAGATCATGACTATAAAATACAAGTTAACAACATATCTGCTGTGAGACAATGATGACAATAACAAAGACAAAGACACTTGTTCAAATAATTTACCAAATGAAATTTTCTAAATTTGTGGTCATGATCTGCTAGGGCCGCATCAATTACAAAAACAATGAGGCTACTGCAGTTGAGGGACAGAATTAAGAGAAGATAGATGTGTGAATGATTTAGATGTGGAAAGTTAAAACAAAACCCAGCCTCAGTTGAAAAGACAGATGTGATAGAACTACTTACAGCACTGTAATGTTGGCACAAAACATCCACTAACCAACTCTGTGGAATGAGATTCATCACTTTCATCATGTGGATGTGGTTGGCTACACAAATAAAAATAAAAACAGATAATAATTAAGGAAAACCAATTCACAATATCACCAGATTGTCCTTTTAAAATTGATGTTAATCTTTTGATCTGATAACCTAATTTCCAAAACTTTAATGTTTCTTATTAATGTACTTTCCTTTCCTTCTTTAATTGCTATCTCCCCTATAGCAGATTACACTAACATTAGCTCATTCTCTCCAAAGAGCTTGGTGTCCTGGGTATGATGATAAACTATATCTGGCAACAAGGTCTACTTTTATTATTAGCAGTTACCAGAAATCTACTTGAAGAAATAAAAGACAAAAATTAATAATAATTGACAATTCTTTTTTTCCTAGACTACTCCTGGGTATGATGTTAAACTACATCTTCCAACAAGGCCTCTGATTGGGAGATTGGCGGTTTTGATGAGCATGGAACCACCTCTTAATAGCTGTTAACTGTTCCCAGATCCAGCCTGACCCAGGGTGGTAGCACCTGTTAGGGTCCCAGCTATGGGCAAATAGTGAACTTCCAAACAAAAATCAACAGTACATTTTTATAATAAAATGACCAACCATAGCACATTTTTTTTAGCAAAATGATAATCAATGTAACACTAAAAAAAAATATAAAAATACATTTTCATAGTAAAATTACCAACAATACATTTTATGGCGATTTTCTAAGTGTAATTTAGATGTGGCATGTCCAAAAGTATGGGGCACCTAGTGAGGATCAAACTCAATTCAGTCATAAATGACCTAGAGAGATAAACTTGTTCACCATTACATCACACCATGCCTTTACCCTGAAAGTATAAAATTATATACAAAATATTTAGATTTTGGCATTAAAATAACCCATACAGGTGTTGATATGCTGCTAAACAGAACCAAACATGAAAAAACTCTTTCATGGCATTAATCCATATATTATCCTACAGTTACTTCAAAAAATCAAACTGTATTCCAAAATATAACTTAAATGAAACTACAACATAAAACACATATCATCACCTCTAGTAATTATGTTCCCACAAACATGTATATACACAAAAGCTGAGTATCATATACCATGTATACAACTGTGAAAGCAGAATAATATATATCCTATTTTTATTACTTCAAAGCTCCCAAGAAAATTAAATTTCAGCATTAAAATACGCCTAAGGAGTTGATATGCTATTAAACAAATCAAATGCTGTGTACACCAAGACCGCACATTTTCATGTTATCATTTTGGCTGCATAACTATACTTTTTTTTTTTTTTTTTTTTACCAATTATCATACCTTCGAAGCAGATTCTGGAGAGACAACATTTAGTATGTTATATGTGACTGTATAGTTTTACCTCCATTTTGTTTTTGATGATCGACATATTTATCCCAAATAGATCTTCAATTTTAAGCTAACAATTTCATATAAATCTCATATGATTTTCAAAAGTTGCAGTTTTCTTGCATAAAGGCAAAGTCAAACTAACACATTTGATTCCATAAAGAGCAACAAACAATATGTATGTTGGGGAGGTAAATCAGTATTTGGTATACAAGAAATTGTTTGAAATGCTAAACTTAACAACACCGGACTTCTTACTGCTACTACCAATCAGGAAATAAAGTAGTTTAAAAAAAAAAAAAAAAATGTTTACAATTCAACCATTCTCTTCTCTGTCAAAAGAAACATTTGTAGCACAAGAGAAAAAAAAATCTTTTTTTGTTGCAGCATCTGGCAATGAGACAGATCAGAAGAGTGTTGATTCCTAACTTCTAAAAATTGAAAGAAGCATCCTCGGATCAAATACAGATCACTAAGTTTTTTTTTTTTGTTTTTCCATCTCCCCCTACAGCAGACCTTCTCCTTCTATGGCAGACTTTGCACTAAAATGAGATGGCTCTTCCCAAAAATCTTGGCTTTCAGTAGCCATATTTAATTTTTTTCTTATACTAATGTTCACCCAATTAAAGGCCCAAGAGCCACTCAAGGTAGAAGGTCACTGTGTGGTGTTGTATGAGCATAAGAAAAGTAAGTGAAGTTCATGAGGTTATATAGAAAAGGTAACAGTTAACCATAGACTTGAACAGGTCAAGATTGTAGTGATTGGGTAAACATCCTGCCAGGATTCTGTTCCACCAAGCAGCAGTTCTTGAGATGAAGCTGTCCAAGTGGGACTTCCTCCTTACTAATGGAATACAAAGAGAATGTGGCCAATTCCCTCTTGTATATGCGGCATGGCGGGCCCCAGTTGTAATGGTCGGAGGAGTTGGGACTAAGGAATTTAGCTTGTCCGAATATATGCCATGGAAATAGCAATAGAGTAGGGAGAGGCTCATAACATTTCTGGTTGTATAGTGGAAAATAATTCATCACTCACAAGGCTGTGTAGACATTTTTGAACTATCAAGACAAAGCAAGTGAGGATTGGGCAGCTCCAATTCAGATATGACAGCAAGACGACTTCATTTTTGGTCAAATCTGACTTTTATAAAGATAAAGTTTAGCAGGGGGAGTCAGATACTCACTGGTGTGGTATAATGACCATTTTCCACCATTCTAATATATGAATTCAACTTGAGGTCTGGAGAGAGCTTGACTCCCAATAGATGGTCAAAACAAAGAGCTCCCTTGAGGGATGACCATGCATCATGATGGGTGAAAGTTCAGAGTCTGCTTGGTGGTGGTGAAGGAGGAATGTTACTAGTTTGGTTTTAGCTGTAATGAACTTTAGAAGCCAGTCCTTCCCCCATTGAGCCACCTGGGCAGTGTCAGAGGAGAGATGAGCTGCTGTGTTCTGGTGTTCCAGACTTTTAGAGGGTGCACCTGTAAACTCTTGTACCATCTGCATAGATGACTCACTAATGATCAGGGTAGGCTCTTCAGCGGATCATTAATATACAGTAGAGCAGGCCAGTTTGCCATGGTATAGAACATTTTCTTGACATTTTCATCATGGAGAATTATACACCCTTTTTGACTGGCATTATGAGTATTAAATACAGATAGCAAAAAGATTTTTCATTAAGTTTCAAAACTTTTGATGTCATCTTTCTCAATGTTGCTAATGATGGCAATTGAAAATCCTGTCTTAATCAATAATATAATGACCGAAATGCTGCATAGTACTCAAAAGCACATATTACTATATCTGAGCTGTATTTCATTCTAACCATTTTAGGGGCCATGCTGAAAAGTGCAGACTCAAGATATCCTTTTTGTGATCAAAAGTCATAGAATTTAAATATCAGATAATTTCTTTCAATGTTGACAAGTATCAACTATATTTATACAGTTTTTGGACAGGCTGCTAATATAACAACACTAAAAAAAAAAAAAGCATTCATTTCATCATCAATTTGATTTTGAGCAGTACTGGAGGTTTGTTTTGATATCCCTTTGAACAGCAGAGGGTGTTGGTATTTGACTCTTTGGCACACCTGGCCATACGCAAGGTGGATTTTTTGGAGTACATTTTTCCATGAATGTCTATGGTATGAAAATTTGAAGGCCAATGTAGTTGACAAATGACTATTGTTTGTAACATTCACATTAGCATTTGAAGCTGATTTTCGCTTTCTATCTTTCTCAGCTTTGTCTTTGGAAAAAGACAAACTGGAAACTAGGTAATATCTGAAATGATAGATTAAGCTTCTTGACACAATTATTTCTTTTAATGCTTCAAATTAGGGCTAACATTTCTAGCCAAATTAATTATACTTTAATCCCAACTTGTATTTCCCCTGCATACCAATAAGTTAAAAAAAAGAAATTTTAGAGGTTTGCCTTAAACCTTTTAAATTGATTTTTTTTTTTGGTCGGGAGGGGTATATTGTTTTGGGGATATATTGTCAACAAAGGTTTACAAAATATTACATAATCTTTGAATTAATTATTGAGTTAATTAAGTATGTAAATTTCTGGCACTTGTCAACATAAAATCAGCTATTTCCTTGCTCTCTCCCAGAGTGTTGCTCCTCCAGGCAATACCTCACCCTTTGATTTAAATGTGGGGACTGAAGTTTTGTCTAGTGCCTGAGGTGACCCACAAGGAGAGGGCTCTGGGTTATTTTGAGAAAATGCCTTGGGGTGGGACAATTCACTGCAGTGCACTTTAAACTCGGAATTTTGTGTCAACATTAGTAAATAAATAAATAAATAAGTACTTTTAGAAGAACCTGAAAATGATTGTGCAGCAAGCAGCAGCATGGTTAATATTTTGTTCATGGCATTTTAGAATATTGAATTAAACTTTTAATTAAATATATTAAATTTCATTTTATGACATTAAGTTTACGTAAAAAACATTCTTAAATGGCTTTTTTCATTAAATTTTTTTAATAAGCATATGACATTTGGTTCTATTTTACACTTTAATGGAAAATTTTAAAAATAAAACCAAACATTAATATTTTTTTGCTTATTTTACTTTAAAGTAAAAATACAACCAATAAAAAGAAATAATTCTATGAATGCATTTGTTCTTTATGAATAACAAAAATATTAGAGAAAAATATTAAAGTAACTTTGTGAAATGATAATGGTTATTTTTTAAAAATAAATTTTGAAGTATAAAAAGCTTAGAAAAATGTCTTTGAAAAGACACAAGTCTGTTAAAAACTAGACATTAACGTTGATATACGTAAGGTTTAAAATGAGTTTTTAAAAATGAAAAAGCATTCATTTTAGCTTTAATTGAAAATTAAAGGATTTAGAATTTATTTCCAGTAAGAAAAATATTGGTTGTTATACTTAAGTTTCAGCTGGTCTTCATTTGATAATTTATTTTTGTTTGAATTTCTGGGATGAAGTGTTATTATTTAAACTGTTTATATTCAGACTTGTCCTCATCTTTGTCATCTTATCACAGCATTTCAGGATCATTAATATACAGTAGAGCAGGCCAGTTTTGGAACTGTGATCTTGCACTCAATTTGAAAGTTAGGTTTTCACATGATAAATAATGACAAAATTTTTTTTCACAAATTCTTACCGTTTTTGAGGGAACAACTTTCA